CCCAAAAACATCATACCAACAGTGAAGTTTGGAGGTGGGAACATCATGGTGTGGGGCTGTTTTTCAGCATTATTACAAATAACTTCATTTCTGGACATTTATGGTTTGATTTCTTTGTATGTATGGATCACTTGGGTTGTTACCAACATCTGGTGAAAATTTCATGTCATTAGCACCTCTAGTAATATATTTACTGAGAAAAATGTTGATGTGTTCAATACTTATTTTACCCACTGTATGTGTATCGTATTTCTCTCTGGTTCCAAATCTGCTTCCCTACCACTGCACCACAGCTGCCCTTTGGGGCTCGTCCGGGATGCTATACTCCGATTTAAAAAAAAAATCAAATTCATGTTTTTCCATGTCTGCTGTGTGTTCCAGGCTGATATTTGGTCTTTGGGCATCACAGCAATCGAGCTGGCGAAAGGCGAGCCACCCCACTCAGACCTCCACCCCATGAAGGTTTTATTCCTCATCCCAAAGAACAACCCCCCCACGCTGGAGGGCAACTACTGCAAACCACTCAAGGAGTTTGTCGAAGCCTGTCTCAACAAGGAGCCCAGTTTTGTAAGTGGTCTCATGTCCCTAAAGGTTTTTTTTTGTTGTTGTTGTTGATTACATTTATCTTATTTTGTTCCCTCTCTTCAAAGAGGCCAACTGCCAAAGAGCTGCTGAAGCATAAACTAATCGTCCGCTATGCTAAGAAGACGTCATACCTGACCGAGCTGGTGGACAAGTACAAGAGGTGGAAGGCRGAGCAGTCTAGAACTACAGAGTCCAGTTCTGACGAGTCAGACTCGTGAGTAAAATCTGATCAAATCTCCTCCTTTTCATTTGCTCTTGTTGTTTTTGCTGATTGGAAATTGTCTCTGTGTTTGAAAAACAAGTTGGTTTGATCAGTTTTCTTGTTTTTCTATCGGATCAGGGAGCAGGACGGTCAGGCGTCGGGCGGGAACGACTTTGGCAGCGATGACTGGATCTTCACCATTCGAGAGAAGGACCCCAAGAAGCTTCAGAATGGAGAGGGACAATCGGGGGGAACGGATCAGGTCAGCCKTCGCCACTAATATGTTTTCACATATCCCAAAGAAGCCGAAGAACAAACTTCTTTCATTTCTTTCCGACAGACAAAAGACATTCCAAGGAGGCCTTATTCACAGAGCCTGGCCTCAGTCATCTCTCCTGCTCTATCTGAGGTAAGTTCAGTTCTTCCACAGGACGTTTTCTAGGTTTTTTATTTATCGCTCATAAAAATATCTTCTTTTAGAAATGTTTTCATCAAGTCAAAAACTTTAAAAAATRATCCCAAAATCTGCAGTAACTACTTCGGACCTGTGCTCTAACAACCATAATGAGTATGAATTATAAACTCAAGAAGAAGAAAAGATGCCATCTGGTCAAAGGTCAGGTTAGAGGCTGCGCTATGATGTCATTTTCAACAGGTGGAGCAGTTTGTATAAAAGTACCAGAATGAGGGCTCAAGGTCTTTAGGCTGTTTCCTCTTAGTGAGTCCTCCATCTGACTCTGTCCTCTGTCCTCATTATTATGTCTTCAATTAGTCTGCCTCATGTGCAGCACATAAGGACAGTCCAGTCAGATTATAAACTGAATTTTCTGTCTTCAGATGTATATTTATGACCCACTACAGGTCAGGGCTTTTATTGTGACGTATGTGAAGTTTTTTTTTTATAGTTCAGTCAAGAGATTCTTAATTTATTGTAGAAAAAAAAGTTTAGGATGTAGTCTATGTAAGTCTACTCCCACAGACGCACATAGGAAGTTTTGACACAAAAGACCATTTCTTATTTTGTTTTGTCCACAATTTTGGTAATAATAAAGGGGGAAAATCAAAAAGTAAAGTACTTATAATAAAAGATTTTTTTTAACTCAAAGGAAAATCTCAAGGTAAGCACAGTGCTTACAGCCATAAACTGCAGGCGCCACTGTTTAAACAAACTGTGTGCTCAAATCCACCCAAAATATAGCCAAACTGATTGGTCAGAGTTTCAAAACATGTGGAATACTCTGATCTCAACCTAATTGAGCATTTCACTTGTTAAAGACTAAGCTTCAGACAGAAAGGCCCACAAACAAAAAACAGCTGCAGTGAAGACCTGCAGAGCATTAAAAACGAGGAAACACAGCGTCTGGTGACGTCCATGAGTTCAAGWCTTCAGGCWGTCATTGACAACAAAGGGTTTTCAACCAAGTACTAGAAATGAACATTTTATTTACAATTATTTAATCTGTCCAATTACTTTGAGCCTCTGAAATGAAGGGATTGTGTTTAAAAGATGTTTTAGTTTTTCTCATTTCTTTTCTATACAACAGTTTTGTTCAACTCACTGAGTTAAAGCTCAGACTCTGAACTTCAGCTGCCTCTGAAATGTTTTGTTTAAAACCGTTGTGCTAATGTACTGAACCAAAGTTAGGAACATGTCTCTGACCAAATACACATGGATCTAACCGTATATGTTACTGGAGGAGAGAACATGTTTTAACTCATAAAACCAGACTGACTGTTATCCAGGATAGCCTACAGCTCCACCTGCTGGCTGCTGGTCATCATGTCAGGTGTCCTCTGTTCATCCATCAGTGACCTCATGTTGGATTCTCATTAGTTCTGAAAATAATGGGACATTGTGTAAAATGTTAATGAATATAGAAAATTTTCTAACATTTCAATAAATGTTACTTTTGTGTGTGTGGTGCTCTGGCTTAACATGTCGACACATTCCTCCAAAAGTACCTAAAAGCTGCCATCTTCTGACTGACCTGACTGAATATTAAAATTTGTCGCTGAATTAAACAACACCAGGAAGTGTTCTGAGTCCATGCTGTGATGTCCAGAACAGAACCAGACCTGTTTTTAATGCAGTGGCCCCTAAAAGCTTGAAGATCACGACCATCCTGTACTGTTGTATATGCTGTTAAGTGCCAGGAGGACTGCGACCAGTTATACATCGGGGAAACAAAGCAGCCACTGTTCAAAAGAATGTCCCAACACAGACGAGCTACATCTAATGGCCAGAACTCTGCAGTTTTCACTCATTTACAGGCCAGCGGTCACTCTTTCAGAGATGAGGATGTTCTCATTCTTGATAGAGAGGAACGTTGGTTTGAGAGAGGAGTAAAAGAAGCCATTTTTGTGAAGAAAGACCGTCCGTCATTAAACAGAGGTGGAGGCCTCCGTTTTCAGTTGTCCCCCTCCTACAGTGCTGCTATTGCCGGTATCACTCCACCCCCTGTTAACAATAAGTGTTAATTAGGTGTCAACRATAGCCATGTGATGTGAGTATCAGTCACATGGAGGCAGGGCTTAAAAGCCTGAATTTTGCCTGAAACTCTCAGACTGAAGAAGTCTCTTGGAGGAGAGACGAAACGTTTCATTAGAGAAGAACCCGTCCAGAAGACCTAYACAATTTTTTTCTTTTTGATCCAGTACTGACTTTTAGCATTTGAGCTCAGAGGTTTCTACAGATTCTACAAACCCTTCTGGTGATGTTTTGAACTGTAGATGATGTGGAACATTTTTCTCRTTTTTAGACAACTTTTCACGGACTGGGCAACCTCTGCCCAACTTTACATTTAGGAAATACAGTGTTTCTAAAATGACTTTTTTTAGGTTAGCAGTTCTGTCCTAATATTGCAGAGCTAATGACAATCAGTACCAACACTTATGCTAATGCAAACACAGAGCTAGTTCTAACACTTGCAGATGTTAGGTCATTGGTTGCACTTTATTCTGGTCAAATTCAGCTCATCCCATCGCTGGAACCCAGCTGTTAGCTAGCACCTTAGCTTAGGAAAAGTGATCAAAAATACTTGTTCCATGTGGGGAAGATGCTGCATCCTGAGCCACTGGAATAAGAACTGTAGCACAATGTGTTGTGGTCCTCCTGGTGGAGTTTCATGTTGTTTTTCCTGAATTTATTTAAGTTTAAACACTGTGCTACGAGAGTTTGTACTCGCATCAGTGTCGAGCAGAGCCTRCAGGAAGGTCCCATTTCTAAAGCTAACGCAGAGCTAATGGGGTGCTAACACTGCAAACTTGTTTAATCACCTGAAACAATGTCATGAACTGTAGTACAAGTCAGAAATTGCAGACCGAGGTCACAACTTCAGCCATAACAAACTTTCCTCCGGTGAAGGATGGAAACAAATCTACTCTGAGAATTCACGATGTTCACAGTCAATCTGTTCCTTATGATCAGCAGAGTAAATGCATAGTTCTGTTACTTCTGTTTCAACTTCTTTCAAATATGTTGCTGCCAAAGAATTCTTCCTTACAATCTGTTCCTCCTAAAATGGTAGAAATGTCTTCATTCRTGTTTTCCTATCTGTAAACCTCTTGTAGTTGAAGGCTCGACAGGAGCAGGTGAATGGGAACCCCATGGTCCTGGATGAGCTCAGGGAGGCTATCCTCCTCGCTGAAGAGGCCTACCCTGGTATCTCTGACTCACTTGTGGCTCACATGGTGCACAGGCTCCAGAGGTAACAACATCTGTCATTTAAAAGGGACTTTCCCATTAGTCAGGTTCAAGTGCAAACCCAGAATCAAAGCTTAGCTCCATTTTTCTGTTTCCATCAACTCTAATACCAAAAACCAGTGCTGACTCAGGCCCAGCTCCTGGATCAAAAGAGACATCCACTTTGATCAGGAGCTGGCTCACAGAGACCAACTAAATGTGATGGTTAAAAACAGTTATTTTCACTTATAGTCTGAACAGATCAATAAAATGTCACCATAGTGTTGGAATTACCTGAGCTTGTCCCTACCTCCTTGTGCTTATTTTAAACAAATCCTCTCTGCTATAAAACCTGATCGTGTTTATAGATCCTTCTTAAAAGTCAGTTTTTACTCCTGTTTATGGTGACATTTATTTTACCAACTGTTGTTTAAAACAGCACTTACTATTAAATGCATTACATTGGTGATATTTTAACAAACCCTGTGATCTGGTTAGGTAAATGGTCTCTTCCAGCGTTGGGGTCCCATAATTAGGTTTTAAATCTAGTCTTTTATGAAGTACCTCAAAGTAATACTTTAGTGAAATTACATGTATCTTACTATAGGATTACTTGGTTGAAGTCTCCTTCACAAATAATTTTTCAGTAAAAGTTTGAATATCTGACATTTATTGCATTAAAAGTAAATATCTTACATAAAATATACTCAAATATAAAATTATTTAGTAAAAGTAAGTGGTTAGAATTTCCAAAATGATATTTACTTGAAGGTAACATCTGCAAAAAACATGACTATCATGTTATATTAAAATATTGCATGTATATCTCTGCCACAGTCATCTTCATATTAGACTACATATGCCTGATAAGTCCTACTGGAGTGGGACATGACTTACGTCGTGCAGGTGTAATGGATTCTACAAATCAATAGGGTGTCAGATTGGAGGCTGTTATTTGGATATCCAGTGTTTCCAGTATTCCTCTCCTATCTAAGAGATAATGTAATTTGTTATGAATTTCCCAGGTTTTTTTTTTCCATTTGCTAATTAGTGGGGGTTCATTATTTAGCCATTTTTTGATTATAGCTTTTTTACAACCAGCGTAGTGTAGTGACCAGAGAAAATAAGCACCAGATAGCTTAGACACCAAGGAACGTAGGCACCAGAGAATGTAGGCACCAAAGAAAGTTGGCACCAGGAAACATAGGCACCAAGGAACTTAGGCACCAAGAAACATAGGCATCAAGGAAATTAGGAACTAGAGAACATAAGCACCAAGGGGCTGAGGCCCCGTGGAACATAGGTACCAAAGAATATAGGCACAGGGGAATGTAGACACCAAGGAATATGGGCACCAAATAGCTTAGGCACCATTTAACGTAGGCACCAAAGAAAGTTTTCACCAGGGAACTTAGGCACAAGAGAACATAGGCATGAAAGAACGTAGGCATCAAGGAACATAGGCACCAGAGAACGTAGGCACCAAGGAGCTCAGGCCCCACGGAACATAGGCACCAAAGAATGTAGGCACCAAAAAAACATAGGCACCGAGGAACATAGGCACCAGAGAACGTAGGCACCAAGGAGCTCAGGCCCCACGGAACATAGGCACCAAAGAATGTAGGCACCAAAAAAACATAGGCACCGAGGAACATAGGCACCAGAGAACGTAGGCACCAAGGAGCTCAGGCCCCA